TCTCTCTCTCTCTCTTGTGCCAAGTACTAACCTTTGAAGGCGGCGCCTTGTTGGTACATCGAAGACGAAGCTGGAGCTATGGCGCCACAGGTAAGTCTCCGTGGTCTCCGCCACCACTCTCTATCTCTCCCAATGCTACTCTAAGCTCCTACAGCGCCCAGCGCTGAAGACTACTCTAGCGCTAGCTACTACTACTGCAACGCTCCTTTAGAGTGCTGCGGCCGAATCCTGAAGACTGCCTCCTGAACTGCACGTGAAGTGCCTGTGAACTCCTCGTGAACTACCTGCAGCCTGCAGGGCGGACCAGTACTATATAGTGCTGGTCCGGCCGGGAGGCTGCTCTTGCCAATGCCGAAATGTGCCAGACCCTGGTGCTGAAGTTCAAACAAAGGTTGTCTTGAAACAGGCCCAAAACTGGCCTGTGCTAAAACCCTGGTCTGGTTGCTAAGTTTCAGGGCAGGTCGACTTTATGAGGGCCTGAAAATGGCCCTCGTTTTCAGGCTTTTAGGCTGAAACGACACAGGGCCTGGAGGGCCCTTTTCCATCTGGTCGGGCCCTGCAGGCCCGTGTGGATACGCAGTATGCCACACTAAGACACCCAAAAAGGAAGACCTACAGCCTACCAGTTTCTAGAAAGGCAGAAACTTTAAGGACAAAACTACGAGGCTGAAAGGCATGAGACTGCGAAGTAGGGACTACTAGCGACAGGTTCAAGGTTCAAGCCCTACAGGGCTCAAAACAGTCAAACACAGCAAACACACTACAAGTCACGGGATCAAGTCCCGGGAGCGTAAAACAGGCAGCAGAGAATTAGTGTACAGCCCGCTCTTCACTGCAATTCATTGCAGAGGGATGGAGGGGTGGATAGAGGGATGATGAATGGACGAATGGACAGATGGATGGATGGATGGACAAAAAGAAAGAATAGAAAGAAAGAAAAGAAAAAGTATAAACAGAACAAACAAAGAAATACAAGGACGGAAGGGAGGGTGCGGGGGGAGCGTGATGATTGGAGGAGGCAAGGAAAAAGGGAGGAAGGGGAGCAGGGAGGGAGGAGGGGAGGGGAGGTGAAGAAAGGGGGGAGGAGGACGGGGGGAGGGGGGGAAAGGAGGAAAGGGCGGAAGGGTGGAAGGAAGGAAGTAAGGAAGGAAGGACTGAAGAAAGATCGAAAGAATGAGCGAACGGACAGAAGGACGAAGGAACAAACGAATGGAAGAAAGAACGAAAGAAGAGAAGAAAGAACGAAAAAGTGAACGAAAGAAAGGAAGGAAGAAAAAAGAAAAAGGAATACAGAAAAAAGCAAGAAGGAAAGGAAGAAAAAAAGAAAGGAAGGAATGGCATTTGTGGCAAGCACAGAAGTAGTGGGAGGTGAGGTGAGGTGATAACAATGGCAGCAGCAGTAACACCAACAGCGGCAATAGCACCATCACCAGGAGTGGGAACCGCAGCAATGAAAGCACTAGTGGTTGCAGTGGCAGAAACAGACGTATCAGTGGTGTGCTCAGTGCCAGCAGTGGCAGAAGCAGCAGTAGGAGCAGTGGCAGTCACAGTAGCAGCAACAGTTAACAGTTGTGCGGCAGCAACATCAGAAGCAACAGCGGCAGCAATAGCTGGATGGAGTATGAACAGCAGCAGCAATAGCAGCAGCAGGAGTAGTGATTGTCATAACACTAAGGAGAGTAGCAGCATCAGATGTCATAGCAGTAGTATTACTACCGTCTTCCCCTGAACATAATGCACCCTAAAAATGAATGTATACAAGCTATATTCCGGCCAGATACAGCCAAATTAAGGGTGCGTTGTGTTCGGGGGAAGACGGTAGTAGTGGTGATGGTGTCAGTAATAGTGAGCAGTAAGAAGGGAGGACAAGGAGGAGGAGAAAGGAGAAGAGGTGATGAAGATGATGTTTGGGATTTGATAATCGTGGTTTTGGTTGTCATTATGTGTTGCTGTTGGTGTGATGTGTATGGCTGATGATATTTTGGTATGAAGATGACAAAAGGGAGAGGAGTGAGGAGTGGGATGATCGGTGCAGCACATCAAGTTAGCAATGACCAGATGATGGAGATCATTGGTTAGACGTCCAACGAGTTGCACAGGCACAGCCTGAGATGTCTACATTTTCCTAAGAACTGCTGTCTGCAGCCTGATTGGCTGACATTTCAGAGTCTGTCTGTCTGTCTGTCTTGCTGTGTTTCCTGTGTGTCTGACAGTCTATGAGATGCTTGCTGAGCAGTGTCTGTTTCCATGTGCTAACTCTGTTTCGGTGCTGTGTTTTCTGTGTCCGGGAAGGGTGGAACAGTAAATAGATATAGCAACATGGCTGCATCCCTGCCGACCGCCGACCCCGACCCCGACCGCCGACCGTATTGCAGCCGACCAGTAGGGCCGACCGGTCGGCGGTCTGCCGACCAGTCAGAAAACAACCATCC